CCCACTATGTTAGCTACCCAACATGTACTGCCGCATTTTGGTGGCTCTGTGTAGTAGGCAACCTGCATTTTTTGTCTTCCAGGTCAATATCCAACGCAGCCAACCTACCCTGTACAGCCTCCTGGGAATCCAGTATACCCTCAGACCTTGCATCTTCCTCAAGCTCCACCCTATACTGATGCTCCACCTGCCTACTCAGAGGTGCTTCCACTTTGCTAGACTTGAACTAGTTGAGAATACTCTTGGACCACATTTTTAGTCCTTAGCTAAATCTGACTTCACATATTTATCTATTCTTCACAAACAGAAGAGAGTGCTCACATAAATAATCTAAACACTATAATTTGGTCATTATGTTGGAGTTGAGAATGCATTATTTGATTATTTTGTGTTATTTGGCATGTGCTGAGGTTAAGAAGATGAATTTGCATTCCTTGAGCCTAACATTAGCTATAGCAGGAAGTGATCCAGGAGAATAATGAATGCCAGTAGAAAGGCAGCTTGTATAATTCAAAAAGTAGAATCAGCACAAGGAGAATTAAGAATTGACTCATTAAGGAGGTCTCAAATAGGAATGTAATAAAGTAACGTTTTGCCTTCTCTTCTGACTCTTTTAGCTCTATCGTCCGAGCTTTGTGCACCCAGGGGCTGCCACAGTTCCCACCATGTCAGCTGCATTTCCTGGCGCCTCTCTGTATCTTCCTGTGGCTCAGTCTGTGGCTGTTGGGCCTTTAGGTTCCACAATTCCTATGGCTTATTATCCAGTTGGTCCCATTTATCCACCCGGTTCAACAGTGCTGGTGGAGGGAGGTTATGATGCAGGTGCCAGATTCGGAGCTGGGGCTACTGCTGGCAACATTCCTGTGAGTATGACCTTATCAGAAAAAACTCAGCCCTCGTCTCTTTTAACCTTCTGAAGTGACTTCATATTCATTCTCTTACCATTCCTGGAAAATAGTTGCCAGTGTTTGTGCAACCACTGACATCCAATAGTCAGGCAGAAAGTGTTTGAGGGGGCAGAACTGTAGCAAGTGAGTAGTATCTGGCAAATTCACTGGAGTCTGAGTTAACCAAATTCCTTTGTTTTCCTGTCTTGAGAGTCCTGCTTGATGTTTTTCCAGTTCTTTTGGTGCAGTGAACTGGTCTAATAATGCCCCTTATTCATTCCATAAGCATTTACTTAATATTTGCCACCAGCATGGTGTTGTATTTGAACCCTGATGATTAAAAAGGTAGAATGCATAATTCTTAGTAGCTTTTAGAAAATACTAGCAGTTTTGGTTATTATTGTCTTCTGCTTAGTTCCCCAATGCATGGGATTTAGAGCCCAAAATAGGCCAAGTGTGGTAGCTCATGCCTGTAATCCTGGCACTCTGGGAGGCTGAGGAGGGAGGGTTGCTTGAGCTCAGGAGTTCAAGACCAGCCTGAGCAAGAGTGAGAACTTGTCTCTACTAAAAATGGAAAAATTCGCCAGGTATCGTGGCACGCACCTCTAGTCCCAGCTACTTGGGAGGCTGAAGCAAGAGGATTGCTTGAGCCCAGGAATTTGAGGTTGCTGGGAGCTACACAGGACAACAGAGTGAGACCCTGTCTCAAAAAAAAAAAAAGAGCACAAATGATCCTTGCTAAGACCATCTACTCAGTAATCATATGCCAGAGATGAGGTGAATGTGTCTTTAGTAAGCCTTCAGCTTATCCAGTAGTCTATTTAAAAACTACAGGGGACCCTGTGGGATTCAGACATGGACCTGATACCCTGTCCCTGTTTTGGGAGTGGGAGTGGGAGGATTTCCTACCCTGAAAGTGACTGTGGTTCTGGCCTATTCATATTTAGAAGGTATCCATAGGCTTCATCTTAGAGCTGGAACCCTTTGAATAAATAGGCTTCCTTTCCTATTTGTATCTTTGGGTTCACAGAGAATGTAGACCTGCTTTAGGACTCAAATTGGTGGCAGAACTAGCTCCTTAAAATGGTCGGCACATTGCCATCTTCCTAACAGGCCTCTGCATCACCTGTCCCTTTCCCTATGTGAGCTGCCTGTGCCCATTCTGTGTCCCTTTCCTTTCAGCCTCCACCTCCTGGATGCCCTCCCAATGCTGCTCAGCTTGCAGTCATGCAGGGAGCCAACGTTCTCGTAACTCAGAGGAAGGGGAACTTCTTCATGGGTGGCTCAGATGGTGGCTACACCATCTGGTGAGGAGCCAAGGCCACCTCCGTGCCGGGAAAGACATCACATACCTTCAGCACTTCTCACAATGTAACTGCTTTAGTCATATTAACCTGAAGTTGCAGTTTAGACACATGTTGTTGGGGTGTCTTTCTGGTGCCCAAACTTTCAGGCACTTTTCAAATTTAATAAGGAACCATGTAATGGTAGCAGTACCTCCCTAAAGCATTTTGAGGTAGGGGAGGTATCCATTCATAAAATGAATGTGGGTGAAGCAGCCCTAAGGATCTTCCTTTAATTCTCTGGAGTAATACTGTACCATACTGGTCTTTGCTTTTAGTAATAAAACATCAAATTAGGTTTGGAGGGAACTTTGATCTTCCTAAGAATTAAAGTTGCCAAATTACTCTGATTGGTCTTTAATTTCCTTTAAGTCTTTGATTTATATTACTTGTTATAAATGAAATGCATTAGTCGTCTGCCTTCTTTCCATCCTTTGCCCCACATCCCACCTCCAACCCCCGTCCTCCATTTCCTTTGCCAATCTCCATTGAATCAATGGTGCAGGACAGAAAGCCAGTCAGACTAATTTCCTTCTCTCCTTGCACTTCTCCCCACTTGTCATCTTTTAACTAGTCTTTGACAAGGATCCTCTGAAACCCCCTCTGTGCCCCAAGCACAGAGCCCATGACTTCTGCTTTTGTATCTCTCAGGCAAAAGTGGAGGGTGCCTTTTGGACCCCCCTCATAGGTTGTCTCTGCATACAGGAAACTAACCCAAATTTGCTCTGGTGCCAGGAAAACCGAGCTTTGTTTGAACAAAGGACATCATGCAAACTGTACTGTAAACAGCAGTTTGTTTAACATACGAGGGGCAAGGAGGAGGATGCATTTCAAAAGCCTGATTGATGACTTTAGAGCCAAATTAAGGGGAGTTTTCAGATCAAAAATTGGTTAGCATTTTTTGTCAGAGTGTCTCATGCAGCCACTCATGGCTCCCAAGAATTCCTAAACTGGGTTAATAGGGTCATATTGTGAATGCCTCACTACAAAATGACTTGAGTCCAGTGAAATCTCATTAGGATTAAGAATATTTCAGGGATCCTTAATATTTTGATTTTTTGTTTTCTGAAATTGGATTTTATTTTATTTTATCTTATAATTTCAGTTCATCTAAATTTTGTGTTCTGTACATGTGATGTTTGACTGTACCATTGACTGTTATGGAAGTTCAGCGTTGTATGTCTCTCTCTACACTGTGGTGCACTTAACTTGTGGATTTTTTATACTAAAATGTAGAATAAAGACTATTTTGAAGATTTGAATAAAGTGATGAAGTTGCATTACACCTCACTCCATGATTCTTTACTTAGCTTGCTTTTAGATTTCTTCTATATATATCTTCTTTTACAGCCTGCCTAGAATTCAGCTAGGTGTTGCTGTTGTCCTCTTTTCTTTAATGAAGCCTTTGAAATAAATGCAGGAGTACAAGGCTAAGATTTGACCATTTGTGAGTTCCATTCAAGACGTTCATCTTTTCCTCACTCTACTTCCTAAACTCTTTCAAATTCTGGGATTCAGAACCTAAACTTAGAGATGAGGGAAAGAGCTGGGTGTGATGGTGCATGCCTGTAATCCCAGTTACTCTGAGGCTGAGGTGGGAGCATCACTTGAATGCGGTTTGAGACTGGACTGAGCAACAGTGAGACCCCATCTCACAAAAAAACAAAACCACCACCAACAAAAATGGAATGATTGATTCTCTTAATGTGCTTTAAAGTTTGGTTTGAGGAAAATGTTTTAGTGTACCAATTTGTATACATTCAGGATGACCTTCAGTTTCTCCAAAGTTCTCTGTGGAGAAATACTGAAAATTCCTAGTATGTAGGCTACCAAGATTGATTCCTCAACTCTTGGATCTTACTTTGGGTGGGTTTGAGCTTTGACAATGGAGGCAATACATTAAGACCTCAAAGGAGATCTAGTTTAATTCCCAAGTAAACAATATCTGAGAAGCTAATGAATTATACCAAACACGGTGCCTTCTAAACACATCTCATTTTGAGACTAAGTTAAATCCAAGAAAATTCTTGGCTTGATTCTGAGGACACTTGGGAAAGGTGGTAGGTAGATTTTTTCCTGGTTCCCTCTGTGTATACGTAGAATGGGTTCTGGGAAATTCTGGCCCTTGCCAGGATGGAGGCTACACCGACTCATCTCCCAGGGTATGTTTCTGATGATTCTCCTCTGGGACAAGCTTCCCTGGATCATCTTTTTTTTTTTTCTGCGGGGGGGACAGAGTCTCACTCTCTTGCCTGGGCTAGAGTGCCGTGGCGTCAGCCTAGCTCACAGCAACCTCAAACTCCTGGGCTCAAGCGATCCTCCTGCCTCAGCCTCCCAGGTAGCTGGGACTACAGGCACATGCCGCCATGCCCGGCTAATTTTTTCTATTTTTTAGTTGTTCGGCCAATTTCTTTCTATTTTTAGTAGAGATGGGGTCTCGCGCTTGCTCAGGCTGGTCTCGAACTCCTGAGGTCAAACGATCTGCCCACCTTGGCCTCCCAGAGTGCTAGGATTACAGGCGTGAGCCACCGCGCCCAGTTTTATCTCAAACCTCTGAGATAGTTCTGGGAACTTCTGGAACTTCCCTAGGGTTCTTATGGCTTGGAAGAGAACATGTGCAGGAGAGTCGGGAGAGGAAAAAAAAGAAAGAGAACATGTGCAAAGAAGTTAAATGAACAAAACAACAACAAAAAAATGTTTAAGCAAGGATAAAGGTAGTTCTCGCACATGACGATCTGATTTTTCCATCAGTGAAAAATTTTAATTCAAATAAAAATCACATAAGTATTAAGGTCATTGGGAACTATGGAAAGGAAGGGCTCAGATTGAGGGATGTAGCACACTCATCAGGAGGTAAGATCTCCATAGTCTATACTATGGTATCCAGCACCTGGGAAGAACTCTGGACAGTATCTCCACTGGAGCTATCACTAGGTGACCACGTAGAGGACAGAGTGGAGCAGCCAGTGACCCTAACTTTCTTTTCCATCCCTTTGACCTGTGAAAAAAGTTAAGATGACTGGGCACATACTCAAATGTCCCCTGGTAGAGCCCTGCCTTGTTGGCCAGTTACAAACACCAGCTCTATTACGAATGCCCGTTTAAAGACATCATAAGCAGCTTTCTTCCATGTCCCTGGTCCCTGGAGTCAGTGATGTTGGCATTTGGGACTGTGTCCTGGAAGGAGCTTGGATTTGCCTACATCAATCACTGCTTCTCACTGCTTTGAGAGAAAACTTTCACCTAATAAATTAAACAGTCAATGTGTTAGCACTGGAGCCAGGAATAAGCTCCTTGGGGCCCAGGAGTCGTCAGATGAAATATTCCTCCTTCTCTCTGCCCTTGGCTGAATCATTCTCCATCTGAAGGATGGCACTGGGCTCGCCTTCTGCAGATTCATAGGTGACGTAGCTGCCTTTGTTCTTGTACAGGTAAAAGAAGATCAAGATCACGACTGAGAGCAGGGTGAGGAAGACCACGGTGATAACAACTTGGAAAGGAGAGGCAAAATGTAGAGATGTTTCAGCATGGGGGATGCCTCAGTAATTCACTGAATCACCTGAATTAGATGATTTCTTCTCATAGGATCCTCCCACTTTAGTTAACTAGTGTCCACTCCCATCCAAATCCATGTCACCCCACCAAGCCCAATGCCACGGTACAGAATAGCTGCAGTCTCTTGGTGCTTAAGCTAAGGACACAATGCTTTTGATTTCTTACAAAACTGAACTCCCTCCCAAACCAGTTCCTGATGATTATGATAGAAACAGGAAGGAGAGAAACAGGAAATAGCTTACTCCAACAGGAAGGGTTTTTTTAAACACATATATCCTCCTCCCTACCCATGTACTCAAGTGTAGTGTCCATATGCATAGCTATTTGTGGCCACCTCCTAACCTATCATTTACTGGCAGTGCCTCTGACAGAAGCCTCTGAGTCTTTTAGAGCCGTGAGTGTGTGCATGAGCACGTGTGTGTGTGTGAGAGAGAGAGAGAGAGAGAGACAGCCTACATGTCAGAGTGAACCCACTGATGGATTTGGTCCCCAATGTTGTGGTGCTTTTCCTGTAGGGCAAAAATCTTAGTTCATGAGGCTATCTCTGGAGAGAGGTAGCCCCTGATCCCAGAAGGTCCCTTGGCTTTGGCTCAGAGCCTTTGTTACCTGCAATGAGTGCTGTGCTGGCTCCAGCTTCTGGGGACAGGGCCTCAGTGGCCTGCAGAATTGGGGTAGTCATCAGTTCTTCTGGAAAATTTAGAAAAGTATAAAAGGAAATGGGGTGAATTCTTTAGTTTGAAAGCATATGTTTGTCCTTCAAATTTTACCACTCCACCTTCTTCCCTATTCAAAAGTTTATCATTCAACGCCTATAATAAATCAGAATAGAAAATCCTGGAGAATAGAGAAAATAAACTGCTACCCAAAGACAACTGACATTTTGATGGCTTGTTCCTTGCCTAATATAGTAGTTAAGAATATGGGCTTTAGGCCAGGTGCCATGGCTCACGCCTGTAATTCCAGCACTTTGGGAGGCCAAGGTGGGTGGATCACTTACTTGAGTCCAGGAGTTCAAGACCACCCTGGACAACATAGTGAGACCTCATCTCTACAAAAAATAAAAAAATTAGCCGGGCATGATGGCGTGCACCTGTAGTCAGTGACTCAGGAAGCTGAGGCGGGACGATCTCTTGAGCCCAGGAGTTTGAGGCTGCAGTGAGCTATAATAACACCACTGCACTCCAGCCTGGGTCACAGAGTGAGACCCTGTCTCTAAAAAAATAAAAAAGAATATGGGCTTTAGAGCCTGACTGACTGGGTTTCAAATCCCAACTCTGTCCTTCGCTAGCTGTGTGACCTCAGGAAAATTACTTAACCTCTCTATGTGTCAGTTATCTCATCTGCAAGATGTAACAGTACCTGCGTTACAGGGTTGTTGTGACATGTAGTAAGTAACACAGTAAGGACAAGCCATTACGAGGAATGCATATTTTTACATAAATGTACATAAACTCATCATTTGATTTCTATACATATACATATGTATATGTACACATATATTTATTTACTTTATGTTATACAGCACATGCATTTTCTTCAGCATTCTTAAAGCTCTTTGTAAACATTATTTTAAAATAATGAAATAATGCTCCTCTCCTATTAAAACCTGTTTCTATACTTCCAGGACAGGCCCTGTAATTTGAAAGGTTCTGAAACAGGCCTCTCCTACCCTAAAATATATCCTGCACCCCCTCCTGCTATGGGCCTATTTATCCTTCAGGGCCTGAATGTCCCACCCTAAACTCATTACCCAGGGTCCGAACATTACAAAATTAGTGGTCTCTAGAAGTCCTGTTAAGTGTTCACACAGAAAGTCAGGAAGCCCTTTAATTCTTTCCTAATTAGCATTTTAATGTAGAGGTTTGAAAAGGTAACAATTAAGTAGAGGTCACTGCAGGACAGAGGTGTGCTGGAGAAAACAGGCTGGCTGACCCTGGAGTGACCCACAGGAGGCATCTCTACTTATTCAGTAAATACCAGCAGCAGCACAGACTGACCTCTCCTCTCTGCCCAGCCCTGTGCCAGACACACTGGGGACAGAATGGTGAGCAAACAGATTCAAGGCGCTTACCCTCCAGCAGACCCCACAGTGCACACAGTTAGGATCTGCAGCAAGTGTGACAAAGGAAACACCCAGGCACTTAGGAGAGTATGTGGCAGAGGGGCCTGATGTAGTCTTCCAGCCAGGAGCTACCTCCCAAGGAAGGAATATCCGAGCCGGGAGCCAAAGCAGAGTAGGAGTTTACTGGGTGACAGGGGTGGGGCACATTAGGCAGAGAGAAGAGCCTGGGTCAAAGCTCTGAGACAGGAGGACTCAAAGGCCAGTGTGGCCAGCACAGTGTGAGCATGATTCCCATCTAGTCCCTGACACGTTCAGATTTCCATCCAGGCCAAGTAACATTAACTTGTCAGCGGTGGTCTGGTGAGTCTGTGAGGGGCCAATGGTATTGAGGGGATTTTCCACACCGGCCAAGGGGAGCCTGATGACGTTCTGGACCTATGGCAGAGAAAGCAGAGGTGGGCTATCTAGAGCGCTTCCCCCTCCCAGGGCAAGGCCAAACCCTTCTCTCCTCACGTCCACTCTTTATTGAGCAATGGTAGTATACTAAGCCACTTTGTGGCCTTGGGCAAATGGTTATATATCTTGACTCAGTCATCCATTCTCATCTGCTACCCATGGAGACTACATTAGCCAACTTTGCAGGTCTATCGTGAAGATTAAAGGAGAGAACATGTGAGCATCATATAGTAGCTACTACATAAATATTATTTAATGTGACTTTGTTTATATGCTTAGTGATTAAAAGGGATTAAAAGGGAAAGCTGCTCTGAACTCTGTCTACCCTCCCCAATAGCACCCTCGCATCGGAAAAATTGTCTTCCATGAAACCAGTCCCTAGTGCCAAAAAGGTTGGGGACCACTGATTTAAGGTCAATTAATCAACGATTTGCTTTGCACCTACCACGTGCCAGAGGTACTGTCATAGATGCTGGGAACACACCAGTGATGAAGTGAATCAGGGACCTGACTACAGAGCTGAATTTTACTGAGTATACAGAGAACAGATACATATGAGTCCCTGGAAAGAGAATCTGGGAGGGAAGATGGTTCCTAGCTGGGAAATTCTGCAAATGATCCCAATTATAACAGCTGCCAATTACTAAGTCTCTGCTTTGTGCTAGCTATTTTATATATATCATTATTAATCTTTACAACACCGCTTCAAAGTAGGTGTTTTTGTTTGCTGATATGGACTCCAAGGCCCAAGGAGAGTTAAGTGACAAGCCTCAAATTACACATGAAGTAATAGTGGATGGGCCAGGTGTGGTGGCTCACACCTGTAATCCTAGCACTCTGGGAGGCCGAGGAGGGAGGATTGCTTGAGGTCAGGAGTTCGAGACCAGCCTGAGCAAGGGCGAGACCCTTTCTCTACTAAAAATAGAAAAAATTAGCCAGGTGTGGTGGTGCTCACCTGCAATCCCAGCTACTCGGGAGGCTGAGGCAGGGGGATCGCTTGAGCCCAGGAGTTTGAGGTTGCTGTGAGCTAAGCCGATGCCACAGCACTCTAGCCTGGGCAACAGTGCGAGACTTTGTCTCAAAAACCAAACCAAACAAAACAAAAAACAGTGGATGGAGCCAAGATCTGAATCCAGGAGTACCCACTCCAAAGCCCAAGCAAGGTATTTATACTAAACCTTCCTGCCACTGTTCTTTTCTTTTTCAATAGGGAAAAATAAGGAGAGGTAATACAAGATAACTATGAGGCAGCACAACAAGCTTTCCAAAAAGGTCAAGGGTTTAAAAGATACGGATAAAAGTAGAAGAAAAACCAGACGGTCACAATCAAATAGCACCCGTTGTGCTACAGGGAGTGCTCCATTAACGTGAACTCGCTCATAGGCGACAGGCAAAAGGGAATGACATCAGGGTAACATGGAAGGCGTGTGGATTCACATGCAGATTCCTTAGCTTTGATGTTTAACATGATCAGAAGCAAGCTTTCTCACAACTACAGAACATTTTAACAAGCTAGGCAGACCTTAAGACAAAAAAAAAAAAAATTTGACAGAATACCTTCCTTGAATGCAGTTATTGGTTGGTATCCACTTACATTAAGCTATCTGGTGAAGCCGTGAGTGCAGATAAATAGGGTGCGAAGAAGCTCACCTCAACATTAAAACAATGGATTAAAGAGGTAGGCAGACCCTATATTGGATTTTTATTTTTGATGAAATGGTTTCTATTAGAAGAGAAGGCTCTCTGGAACTTACATCTTAAAAAAGGAAACACACACCGCAGAGTACAGGCTGCAAAGGACTGAGTGGAATTCAAGGTTGGAATGCTAGTGGAGATTTAACTCTGCCGATAATTTTATTGCGGTTGTTATTATATTTGTTAGGGCTCTGGTTACAAAGTTCCCTAAGTTTTGAGTGGTCTGCCCCAATCCTGTTTTTCATGTAAGCCCTCTTATTTTCATAATATGATTTCAAAATGTGAATCTTTTTAAAAATGCACATAAAATTTTATAGCAGAAATGGCTATATTAGAGGCTGTCAGAGACTTAGAAGGATAGTGTCAGGAAGCTCTATGTAAATCAAGTGGCAAACAAATTTGAAGGGCGATTTAAAAAGCATGCATTTGGAGCAAGAAGGATGGGAAAGCTAGGCTTGCTGTTTGGGCCTGGACACATCAGGTTGGAGGTAACAGCATCAGGTTGGAGGTAACAGAGAAAGCAGAATTTCCCCCAGGCCTTTTTGACTTCTATCACAGAGAATGATTTTTGCACTGAGGGGCAGTAGGAGCTTTAGGGACATGGGGAAGTGAGCTCAAGAAAAGCAAAGAAACCCAGTAAGCACCAGGCTAAATCTAAAAGGAGTCCAAGTAACGACAGCCAGGGGCATCAAAAGAACTTGTAAATGGATTTCCGTAGCTGATGTAGGAGCTTCTGAGAAAGAAAGGGGCCAGGAGCCTGAATGGCCATGGAAAGAGGGTGGATTCTGTAAACAACTGGTGAGCTTGATGTGGTTCCCCGGCAAAAGTCAAGAACAAGTTACTAAGGCCTGCTTTGGGAGCCTTGAAATAGCAAGCGTTAGGAGTCAGAATGGGACGACTAAGAGCACACTGAGTCAGACA